CAGGAGCAATGATTTTGTAAATGACTACCTAACTTGGGAGGGACTGGAGAGCATTATGCTGAGTGAACGAACTCAGTCCCACAAGGACAAATACTGTTTAAAACCATTATTGTAGAATGAATATGAGGATCCATGGGGGGGGGGGAGCAGAGGGGTGAGGATGGGCGGGCGGTGGAGGGTGGTTAATAATAGGCTCGCGTAGTTTAATGTGTGTGTGTGGGGGGTAAAGGAAATGGGAAAGATCTGATGTCAAAAACAATGTATAAGAACTTTTTTAAATAAACCAGTATTTAAAAAAAAATATTATTGTTGGTTCTCTGGATTTGGTTCTGACTCATAGTAACCTCACACACAATAGAAAGAAATACTACCTGGTCCTAAGCCATCTCTGTGGCCGTTGCTATATTTGAGCCATTGCTGTTGCTGTTATCAAGCCTCTAAGTCAATCCGTCACACTGAGAATCTTCCTCTAATTTACTGACTCTCTTTACCAAGTATGATGCCCTTCACCAGGGACTGGTCTCCTAATGTCATGTCCAAAGTACCTGAGATGAAGTCTCGCCATCCACCATCCTTCCTTTTGGGGAACATTCTCACTGCACTTTTTCCAAGACAGATGTGTTTGCAACAAGCAAGAAAACAATAGAAAACGAACCTCTCTTTAATAATATTTTAAATGGGAGAAGTCCCTACTGGCTCAGTCATTGCCACGGAATCAGAACTGACCCATAGCTGACCTTCCATTTGGTTTTCAGAGGGTGGAAATGGCATGAAAGGAGATTGGCCATGTTTCTCCTGCACAGTAGCTAGTGGATTTGAACTTTCCACCTTTGACGTGGCGGTACAGCTTCCTGTTCACCAGGCTGGAGAGCTCTCTCCTTTTAGTGCAACAATTGAAAGACAGTTCCTCATCAGGCCGGAGCCTTTCTCTCCGCCTAGAAGGGCAATGCTGAGACTTCCTTGTTACTGTTGGGTGCCGTTGAGCTGACCATGACTCACAGGGGCCCAGTGAACAACACGTCTAGACTTTGTCCTATCTTACATCATTCTCATCATCTCCAGTATGTCCAGGCCTGTTGTTACAGTCCGTGTGTCAGTCTTTTCTTTTTCTTCTAACTTTATTATTTTGTGTGTGTACTGTCAAATCTGACTGGTACAGGAGGAGATTGTCCCTCCTTCTCCAGCAGAGCATCTGGTGGGTTCGAACCGTGTACCTCTGGGATTGCAGTGTAGCTTTTTGCCACTAGGCCACCAGAGCTCCCTGTGTCAGTCTATCTTATGGAGAATCTTCTTTCCCAGCAGGATGTAGTTTTTCCACAGACTGGCCCCTCCTCACGACATGCCCAAACCATGTAAGGCAGTTTCACCCTCCTTAGCTCAAAGGAGCACCCTGGTTGCACTTCCCCTGAAAAATGACTTCCTTGTTCTTTTGACAGTCTGTGGATGGACAGCCAGTACTCTTCTTCAACTCCACAAATCAAAGGCTTCCGTTCTTCAGCCTTTCTTATTCATTGTCTAACTTTCAGATGCATAGGAAACAATTAGAATATCATGGTTTGGATCAGGCTCACTTGACACCATTGTTCTTTATCATTTTGACAAGGTCCTTGACCACAGATTTTCGCAATGCAACATGTCTTTCGATTTGTTGACTGCTGCCAGTGTAGGTGCTGATTGTGGGTCAAAGTAAAATGAAACCGTCAACAACTTCAATCTTCTCTCCATCTATCATGATGTTGCCTGTTGGTCCAGTGGTGATGATATTTGTTTGCTTAATATTGAGAACCCTATGAACCTGGAGAAGTGATGAAAGTCACACAAGTGTTGAGGACTTTCCTTCAAAGGGTCGCTATGAGTTGCCTATGACTCGACGGCACTTAACAACATAGAGAGAGACCAGTTGGCCTAGTGGACAGAAAGTGATGCTACCAAGTCAAAGATGGGTGACTCTAATCCACGGCCCTGAGGCCTGTTTTGGTTTTGGTCAAACACTCTTGTAGGTCGTATAGCCCTGGTGTGTCCACTTGCCATAGAGAGGTAACTTGTGGTTGCTGTGAAGCTGAACACTGTGACACCGATGTGTCAAAAGCAAGAATGGTTACCCATGGCGGACAGTGTCTGGTGGAGTTCCCGATTAAAACAAGCTTGGGAGCAGTGATGGACATTTGGGCTGATTCCATTTTCTGGTTATTGTGAATAACATTGCTTTGAATATCAGTGTACAAATCTCCATTTTTGTCTCAATTCTATTTTCCTTGGGGAGCAGCAAGAAGTAATGATTTGGGGGGAAAAGATATATAACATAGGAGAGGCTGGGGAGCAGTATGTTGCATGAACTAACTCAGTCTCATAAGGACAAATACTGCATAAGACCATTACTATAAAAATAGAAGAATAACTAGTAGGATGTGTACAAAAGTCCAGAGGAGGTAGGGGAGGGGGAGGATGAAGGAGGGGAATCACGGGGTTGCAGAGTTTGGTGGGCAGAGGGAGAAGGTGAAAGAATTAGGAAAGATCCAGTGGGAACCTGAAAAGGTGAGGTACTTTTGGGCATGGATCAAAGATTTTTATAAAACACAATGTATGGGAGTAATGCTATTAAACACAATGTGAATAGAAGAACGTGTGAAACACACGTATATAAATGAAACGCAACGTATAAGAAATTTGTTTACAAACAAAGATGAAAGAAAAAGAATCTTTTTTTTTTAAATGTAGTCCTAGCTCCTGCGCCTTTTCTGGGTGTGTGATGCCCTCTAGTGGCAGCATGTAGGGATTACAGCCAGGGTAGCCTCTGGGAGTCTGGCAGACATGGCCAGAGTGTGGTGGGAAGGGATGAGGTGAAGGAGGGTCGGGTCCTTGGTGAGACTGAGCTGAAATAGGGACCTTGAGTCACAAGGAGGAGTTGGCCAGGCGGTCTTTCTCATCTTGGTCCAAGCTAGTGGCCTCTCTATCTGAAAGAACATCCAAATGGTCAAGAGCTTCCAGCTGGGCTCTTGCCCCTACCACTCTTTCACCCTGCTTTGTAAAGAGCTATGCCTGGGAGATGCGGACCACCTGGCTTTTGGGATCTTCTTCGCAGCCAAGGCGCCCCAGGCCTCCAGAAAAAGGGAGAGGCAGAGATTTGAAAGGATTAGGAACGGGCACAGGCTTTTGAGACCCAAAGGCTTGCTGTGTCTGTGCTGTGGAGTTGACACCGACTCACAGCTGAGCCTCCAGGGGATTTTCAGAAGCTGTAAATCACCCAGGGAGAGACCACTCTTCCTTCTTTCTTGGAATAGCTGTTGGATTTGAACTTCCTGCCTTAGGATCGGCAGTGCATTTCCTTACCACTAACCCATCAGAACTGGAGACACTCCAGCTCCGAAGAAATTTATCTCCTAATTTAAAAACACTGAAGAACAGTCCCGTGGACCACACTCCCTGGGACCAAGGAGGGGAAGAGCGTGGCCAGGGCACAGCCGGACTGGAACTTTCCACTGGCATCATTTGGCCTCTTAGGAATTTGAAAACCTCGTTATTGGACAGTTCAACTCCTTGCAGAAAACTCAAGACAGAAGAACCAGATTGCTGAGCTGGGTGGTCAGAATTCAGTTGTAACTGCTTCTTCCCCCAGCCCCATCTTGTTCACTTTGGAACTAGAAGTTTTCTGAGTGCCCCAGCTGGTCTGGGAATGAATGAATGAGTCCTCACTTCTTACGCTGAACGTGTTCACAGCCAGTTGGTCCCAAGTCGGGGTCTGGAATCTGAATTTTAGGAAGTCTTTTAGGCATTGTTATTGGGCAACCCAGATTTGGGCAAGTGGCTGAATACAAATAAAGAAAATGAAGTACGAAAGTGGGGAAATGACTGAGCCAGATCCCACAGATTCTACTGACAGGGCTGGGACTAGAACCTGTGACTCCTGGTGCTGATGCCCCTCTCAGCAGCAGCCTGAAGTACACAGACAGGTCTGGGGGACAGCCCACCTCCTGGTGACCCTCAGGCCTTCAGACATGCCATGCAGCACACAGACTGCATCAACCAATTTTGAGGTTCTGGGGAGCAGAGCAGATACTCCTCTGCCTCAGGGAGCCCCTTTCTTGGGAGGGGTCTGGCTGGGCTGAGGACTTCCCTCTTCCCTTAGCTCCCCACCACAGCTGAAGCCCCACCCCACCCAGACGTACCCTGACCCCTCAGCCCAAACATTCCATTGAAATGCACTCCATATGTTTTCGATTCGGCCACTCTGGACTCATCAGCACCATGGTTTTGTAACACCGCCTGATGCCCAAAAAGCAGTGTTTCTTTTTTATTTTTCCCTTTATTAAAAAACAAAACACAACATCGTTGGGGTCTTGAAACAATAGCAGAGCATTTCAGAGGCACAAACTTTTGCAGATGGTGGTCTGGCAGGCGCAAAGGGTGTTCTGTTATTCCAGAGGGTAAGGGAGGGAGTCAGGACCCCATGGGGCCTGTGGGGAAACACAGCAGAGGGGATCCCCGACTTCCAGGAAGGAGATTAGTTTGGGAATGAACCTGCTCTTGGGCTGGCGTTTGGGGATGTGACATTTCATCACCTGCAGGCCCTCTGTCCCCTCTTCCCTGGACTACTCCAAGGCCTTTCAAGGTTCAGACTCCCACCTCTTCTGCCTATTTCCATCCCTAGCTGCTGTCTGGGGACCCTACAAGTTTAGATCTGTCATAATGTCAATATAAATTGAGGGTACACCTTTCTGGGGTTCAGGGGTGTGGAGAGTGGCAGTGGGGAGAAACTCTCTCATTAGGCCAGTCTAACTTGGGAGCCCTTCGCACTGTCCTGCCTGCCTGGGTGTGTGTGTTTATGTGTAGGTGCAGTGAAGGTCACATGCTCAGTGAGCAGTGTCCACGGGAGGGGTGGGTGAGGACATCATCCTCCCTTCTCCTGACTTTGTCTCCTTCATTCCTTCCCGAGTAACCTCAAGGCTTCCTCTTCCTCTTGCAAGCAACCAGCAGATGGAAGATGGTGCGTGTGGGTTCACTTGGGCATGTCCTTTCCTTCTCGTGCCTCAGTTTCCCCATGAGTAAAATAGGCAGGAAGTGCTGGGGTGCGGATGGAGTAGCCTGGCGAGTCTCAAAGATCTTTTCCTCTTCGGCAGCCTTTTCTGGGCTGAGCCGGTGGTTCTCCAAAGGCTGAAACTCCGATCCCGCAGACATGGACGTGCCTCCAACTGGAGCCAAGAGGGTATGGGGATGGGGAGAGCGAGGGTGCATTGATGGGGGGCGGCAGGCAGCTCCCAGGAGGACCACATAGTGGGTCCTACCGCTCGTCCAGCCGGAGGCCAATCACAGACCTCACTGCCAGCTGGGGGTAGTGTCCAGGCTGGGCATAGGGCACCCAGAGCCTCTTTGAGGGTCCTTGTGGGATGGTGGTGGCCAAAGGCTGTGCACGTGGCACCCAAGGATCAGCTGAAGGATGAGGTGTTCAGTCCTGGCTCTGGGGCTCCTCAGGAGAAGACACGGGGTTCTAGGGACTCAGGAGCTGGGAGAAGCCCAGAGCAAGAGGTCTGGGCTCGCTAAGGGCCAGAGTTGCTGGGAGGGCACAGGCTGCAGGAGCCACATGGTCTCACAAAGCGTGTCGTGTATGTGTGTGTGTGTATGTGAGAGAGAGAAAGAGACAGACAGACAGACAGAGATAGAGACACAAGGACAGAGAGAAAGAGAAAATGAAAGAGGCAGAGGGAAAGAGGATATAGTGAAGAACACAAAGATAAAAGGAAGAAAACAACGGCAGTAGGAAAGGCAGAGGAGACGAAGGGAAAAGAGGAAGAAAATAGAAATGGAAGAAGAGTCAAGGACAAAGAAGAAAGAACGTCAAAGAGGTGAGAAAGAGAGAGAGAAAATCCCAAAAAGAAGTAAGAAAGCTGAAAAGGGCTGTCAAGTCAGGACCCCTGGGAGGGGGCGGTCCGGGCCTGAGGCCTGCGTGGCCTTCCATCCACCTTCCGGTCCAGCTTTCTGTCCTTGCGCGGGCGCTGGTCTCGGCGGCCCTTCTTCTGACTGGGGTTTGTCTCTGCAATGGGAGCACAGGGAGTCCTTTCTGGGGCCGCAGAGCTGGCCAGGTCCCCGGAGGGCCCCCACCACCTCTGCAGACGCTGCCTCCTTAGAGTTGGCCCTGAGGCACAAGTGATCTCCTGGAGGTTTGGGGGCTGGAAAGGGGCACTGGAGCCTGAGGGCACAGATGGGTTCACAGCTGGCCTGCTGGACCTGGGAGTGCTGTGGGGTGAGGTGCAGGGACCCCAAGACCCTCCCCTATGCACTCACTTCACAGTCTATAAGGCTCTCGACTAGAGACTCACATCATTGACACGAGTCCCTGCACTAATGCCTCCCTCACCTCACTGCCCAGGGTCCCTGTCCTTCAACACAACTCAATACTAAATGTGTATTAAACCCGGGAACCTTCACAGGGAGAACACACCACCTAGTCACCCTCATTTGACAACATGACCCAGTTCCCACTGCAGGGAGGGCCAGACTGAGGCGCAGACCCCAGAACTAACTTTGAATCTCGACTCTTCCTTAAAGATCTGTTTACAGTGATTTGTCACCAGCACAAAGCTTCACGTGTGAACGTCAAGTGTCCACTGAGCTTTCTAGGACTGGAAGCTCAATTCAGAAGAGATCAGCTGTTTGGGTGGCCTTTCCTAAGACAGTGACCATTTGGGGAAATTGTGTTTCTGACAGCGACGTGGCCACAGCTGGACCACTGGCCACAGCTCTCGTAGTGGTCTGATGATAATTACATATCTGGCCTGAGACGATCTATCAGGGAATTTCTTTTATTTCTTGAGTTACAGTCGACCAGCTCTGGTTGCCTCGTGGCAAGAAGCTGCACTGCAATCCCAAAGGCAGCCAAGGCCACCAGCTGCTCCGCTGGAGAAGGATGGACAATCTCCTTCCGTGTGATAACTGCCTCCGAAAACCCGCTGGAGGGTCAGCTAGGAGTCAGCTCCGACTCTACGGTACATGACAACAACAGTTGAGATGCTACATGGATATTTTAAAGAAAATGACGTGTGCAAGCAGATTCTATTCTTCAATAATTTCAGAATACCAAAGAGGACATTTATAAAACTTTGGTTGTTACAAGGGGTTGTTAGTATAAGAGGCTGGAGAACCCCCAATGGGAGAGGCCCCCTCTTCACAGCCCACCTGGGACTGATGCCAGCAACGAGGGGCCTCCACTGGAAAAGGCAACATTTACCTGCATGGAGGTGTAACTAAGTGGCTGCGGGCAGGTGCTGTTCACGCAGCAGGGCCTCAAGTCCTGCATATGCAGCCCCGCGTGCCCTGCATGCCCCGCAGCCCCACGTGTCCCGCAGTCCCACGTTGGCACTCACCTCCTGGGCAGTGCCTCTGCATGGGGCATTTCCGTGACTCAGACAACACCTGACAGGTGGCTGTGTCCTCCCGCCCAGGCCGGCTGGCCTCCCGGACCCGGGTCTCCAGGCCCCAGGCTGAGCCGCACGTCCTCCCGTTGTGCCTGCAGGGGCTCCAGCTGCTCCAGGGGCCCAGCTCACACTCATCTGTGGCACAGGGGGACAGACAGACAGACAGACTCAGCTGGCAAAGAGTGTCCTGCTGATGGGTCAGGTCCCAGGAGTTCAATTTCCGGAAGTTACATATTCAGTTCAGAGAGAGACTAACAAACATGGGAGCAGAGAGGAAGGACATTTCACTCGCTATTTCCGACAGCCTAGCCCAGACAGTCACCTCCTGTGAAGATTTACAGCCTTGGAAACCCAGAGGAGAAGCCCCATGAATCAGAAGGTGGTTGCTGTGTGCCGTCGAGTCAGAACCAACTCATGGCTGACCCTCCAGCAGGTTTTTCAGAGGTAGTAAGTGGTAGAGAGGAGACTGTCCATCTTACGCCCACACGGCAACTGGTGGACTTGAACTTCATGCCTTTGGATTCGCAGTGCAACTCCTTTAAGGCCCCGAGTCAGAACGAGTCAGTATTATTTCTGGGCTTGGGGATGGTAGCACTGAGAGTGTGGATACAGCCTGACACTATAGGAGGTCAGAAGCCAGAGGGACTGAGGTCTGGCTTTGAGGAGGAGGGCTTCCTGGAGGAGGTGACGTTTGAGTTAAAGGGAGCCAATACATCACTAGAAAGAAACACATTCTAGGCAGAAATGCAAAGCCCTGGGGATCTAGCAGATACGTGTGGGGGCTGGAGAATCAAAGTGGGGGACAACAGAAGGTTCTGGAAGGGTGGGGCAGCAGAGAGGCTGGAATGTCTACCAGAGGGACTCTTCAGGTCAGGGCAAGGAGTGTGAAATGTGTGTGTGAGAAAAATTTCTATTTAGAATTAGCCAGCTGGACTCAGTTTAGATGATCTGAATTTTGTTGGCAACATCCAAAGCATCTTAGTCAGGAGCAAGTCAAGCATAGGCCTTCTTCTCTCCACCAGGCCTAATCAAAGTGTTGACCTTGGCCACATCAGTGTCATAGAGCTTCTTTACAGCTTGTTTAATTTGATGCTTGTCGGCCTTGACATCGACAATGAACACAAGCGTGTTGTTATCTTCTATCTTCTTCATGGTTGACTCAGTGGTCAGGGGAAATTTGATGATGGCGTAGTGGTCAAGCTTGTTTCTCCTGGGGGCGCTCTTCCGGGGGTATTCGGGCTGCCTTCAGAGCCTCAGCGTCTTAGGCCGCAGGAAGGTGGGTGACGTGTGAATCTTCTTTTTCTTCTGGCTGTGGACGCCCTTCAGGGCGGCCTTCTCGGCCTTTAATGCCTTTGCTTTGGTTTCAGTTTTGGGAGGGGCAGTGGCTTCCTTCTTTGCTTTCGGCACCATCTTCATAGAAAGAGGGGTGTGAATTTTATTGCACGTCTCTGGTCAATGTTGTTGTTGTTGTTGTTAGATGCTGCCAAGTCAAGTATGACTCATAGCATCTGTAAGAAAAATCGATCTGCACCCTGTGCAGATCCTGTGCCATCCTCATCGTCTCTGACACACCTGAGCCCATTGCTGCAGTCACTGTGTCAATCCACCTGGTTGAGGTTCTTCCTCTTTTATGCTGACCCTTCACCTTCCCAAGCATGCTGTCCTCTCCAAGGAACAGACTCTCCTTGTACTATCTCCAAAGTCTGTGAAGTGAAGCTTTGTCATCCTTGCCTCCAAGGCACACGCTGGCCATACTTTTTTCCAAGACATATCTTTTCTCTCTTTTGGCTGTCCATGGGATACTCAGTCCTTTTCTCTAACACCACAACTCAAAGGCATCGATTCTTCTTCGGTCATCCTTATTCACTGTCTAGCTCTCAGATGCACAGCAAATGACTGAGAAGACCATGGTCTGGATAAGATGCACCTTGGTCTTCAAACTAACATCATTGTACCTCAGTAATTTGGAAAGGTTCCTTGACAGTGCACTTGTCAAACTCAATATATCCCCTGATCTCCTCACTGCTGGTACTAAGTGCATTGATTGTGGATCCAAACGATATGAAATAGTTGACATCAATCTTTTCTTCATCCATCATGAAGTTGCTTTTGGGTCCAGTGCTGGGGATTTCTGTCTTGACGTTGAGGCACAATCCACAATGAAGGCTGTTTTCTTTGATCTTCTGCAGCAAGTGCTTCAAGTCCATGTTGGCAAGGGAGCTCTGGTGGTGTAGTGGGAAGACGCTGCTCTGCTAACCCAACAGGAGATGCGAACATACTAGCTGCTTTGTGGGAGAGAAAGATGGGGAAACCCTCCTGTGAGACTTACAGCCTCTGGAAACCCGGTTCTGACTTGGCCCAACAACATCAACAACATTGCTGGTAAGTAATAGTAGTGGTGATAGTTACATGGCAGTTCAAGCACCTTGAAGACTGACTATGTGCAGGTATCTGAGCCTCCTATCACGTGGCACTCTACTACAACTCCTTCCAGATTTCCTGCTTCAGAGAAAGGCTGGAAGGGAGCAGAGCTGGGCAGAGCAAGGAAGCCCCCACTCACCCTGGCACTCGCGTGTGCTCAGATGGGCCATGGTGCCCAGTGGGCAGGTGGGCAGACACTTCCCCTTGTACAGGTAGAATCGCCTCTTGCATCGGATGCAGAAGTCTTGGCTGAAGCAGCTTTCACACGTGGTCCCACATTCTGGAACAGAGCAGAGCCAGGGACATCTGGTGAGGGGGTCTCCCTGGGGAAGGGCACCCTGGGGCTGCCTGAAGCGGGAGGTGGGTGGTCCACTGAGGACTTAGTGCATCCTCTGAGGCTCCGGGTTACCCAAAGCCAAACGAGGCTGCAGATGAGAACTCTCCTTTGTACTCCGCAGCAGCAGACGGCATGCACTGGGTGTTTTCATTTCAAGACCAGGACTCCCCTTCTCATTCAAAATGAGGCTCAGACATGGCAAAGTAACTTGTCCAAAATTGCACAGCCAACCTAAGCTCAAAGTTAGGAGTTCTTGCTCCATTTCAGCCAAGGGTACAAAAAGGCATTGATGTGTCCCCAAGCCACTCAGAAAACGAGTCAGGAGCTAGGACTCCTTTCCCATTTGAGCTAGGATCAGAGAGGGTGAAGTGCTTGCCCAGGGTCACACAGCAAACGCCTAGGGTAGAAGTGGAGGCTCCCTACTTTGCTGGTCCTGAGAACTAGACAGGACACTGACTTGACCAATACTGCAGGGAGCACCTGGAACCAAGCAATCCAGGGCCTGAGCCCAGACTCGCTTCCTCTGTGTCTGTGCTGGGATGAGCTGGTGGGATGTGAGCCAGGGGCCCGTGGTGGACGGGACAGGGGTGGGCCACCTACTTTTGCACCTGTTGACTTCCTGGCCGCGGATGCCGAAGTAGCCTGGGGGGCAGTCGTGCACACACTTGCCGTACTGACGGATGCCGTCCCGACGGATGAACAGGAAGAGCCTCTGCTGGCAGGTGGAGCAGCCATTCTCCTCAGAGCAGATGACACAGCCTGTGCAGTTGCCCCCAGGGCCGGTGCCCACTGCCAGCCAGACCAGCGGGAGGGGAAAGGAAAGAGCAGAGAGAGCTGGTCAAGCTTTATGTGTGTGCAGCCGAGACCTGAAATAACAGGATACGGGGCCACCCAGACACAAGTCCACACTTCCCGGCTTCCTTTGCAGCTAAGTGTGGCTCTGTGACCAAACCCCAGGCAGTGGGAAGGGAAGAAGCCTTAAAGAATGGGGGCATGCCCTTTGCCATTCCCTGGGTCTTCCTATTGGTAGAATGTGAACTTGATGGCTGGAGCAGAGGCAGCCCCATTTGATCATGAGGCAGAAGCTATGTGCTGGGAAAGATAGAGAAATAAGATAAAACGGGCCAGCCCTGGGGTGCCTGTATTGATTATTAAGTGAGAAAGCAAAATCTCTTTTGTCTTAAACCATTTTTTATTTGTTGTTTTCTGTCCATCCCAGACAAATGTAATTTTCCCTAAAACAATGTGCACGTTTGAGCATGAGGGGTGCAGGGGTGGCGTGAAATGCCTCCTTGGGCTTGATTTTTGAATAGCATTCCCTTCCTCACCATCACCGTCACCATCACCATCACCAAATGCTCCCTCATCAGGTGCCGGTGAGTTGGTTCTGCCCTTAGTTATGCCACATGTCCAAGCAGAAGTGTGCTTCCCAGGCTGTTCAATGTCTGATATCTAAGAGGATCCTCATCCTTTCTTCCAAGGTGTTCCTGGGTGGATTCAAACTGCCAGCCTTTTGGTCAGCAGCCTAGTGTGCTAACTACACCACTCAAGGACTCCGAGTCCCACAACCATCATGTAACAACAAAGTGAGAGAGAAGGAGTGTTTCCTGCCCCAACAGTGGTGACTAGGACCCACAACTTGAAATTTAAAAAGTAGAAAAAAACCCCAAAATATAAGCAGAGCCTCTCCAAGGCTCACAGGAAATTCCTGCTATCCTGACCATCCCTCTGTTCTTGTGTGTCATCAAGTTAGAAGTGACCCATAGCTGACCCTCCAATGGGTTTTCAGAGGTCATAAATCACACAGGAGGAGACTGCCTATCTTTCTCCTGAAGAGCGTCTGGTGGATTAAGAGTGCATGTCTTTGGGATTGCAGCACAACTTCTTTCCTCTGGGCCACCAGAGAGAGAGCTCCCACGACCATCTCTTTAAAATCCTTAATTAAGCTAACCATTTAAGAGCTCTGGTGGCTTGGTGGTAAGGGATTGTGCTGCCAATGCAAAGGTATGCGGTTCAAATCCACCAGCTGCTCCGCAGGAGAAAGACGGACAATCTCCTCCATGTGATTTAACGCCTCTGAAAAGCTGCTGGAGGGTCAGCTGTGAGTTGGTTTCGACTCAATGGTACGCACAAGAAGGGGGTGGTCAGGATATGAGGGATTTCTTACAAGCTTTGGAGGGGCTCTGCACCTAACTTCATGGAAGAAGGGCATCTTGGAAGTAGACAGGTTTAGGGGGTGCTGCTGCCGTTCTGCATAGGAGGCTGGTGCTGACATAGGGGGCCCAGGAATGAAAGGCTGCAGGGGTGACCGCTCGGGGTGAGGGGGTGGAGATGGGCCTATCTCTCACCTCCGAGGGTGGGCGGTGGGACATCTTCCCAGCACCTCTCCCCTGTATTCACCCCTTCACCTCATGGAAGACAAGCAGGTGGACACAGGGGCCATAGTCACACACCCAACAAAGAGCAGAGAACTGTGCTCTTGACCCTGAATCCCCATTGTCTGTCTGGACCCTGGAGGAGCTAGAAACCCAAGAGAGGGAAGGGAGAGAACAAAGCCCACTCGGGCAGACTGGGCTGTGCTGGGAGAGGAGGAGGTGAGCATGAAACGGAGTAAAAGATAGATATTGAGGATTGGCACTGGAGTGGACTGGACATTCTGGTACCTGAACGGGGCCAGGGTGGCATCTTAGAGACTCCCTTTCTCTCATTGCTCACTGAGTGACAGGTTTTCTGAGGCTGCAAATGACACAGGAGGAGATGGTCTAGCTTTCTCCCCCGGGAGCCACTAGCAGATTCGAACTGCTAGAGAAGTTCTACCTTTGGGCTCCAAGCACAGCTCTCCAAGGATTACAACATCAGAGATACAGCCACTGGGGAAATACCCAACAGTGTCATATTTGTGCCTATTAAGACCGCCTATGTAACAAAGAACTCATGAAATATTATGCAAAATGGATGACCCCGGAGGACATTATGCTGAGTGAAATATCTCAGACACAAAAGGACAAATATTGCATAGGGCCACTGTTGTAAAACAGGACTGACACTGGGCTTGAGGGAAGACAGAAAAGGAGGGGAGGAATGATGTACATTGTACTGAAACAAATTAGGGAGAGATCTGTTTAAAGGGATATGTGAGTGGGTATTCTTGTCATTACAGAAGTTCAGAGTGAGGGCTGCATAGTGGAATGAACATGGGGGGAGGGATTGCATAACAATGAAAGAGTTTTTATTTTTCTTTTCAAGGAGAGGAGTGATTTTGGGGGGAGGGGATGGACAGGGAGAAAAGTGCAACAATGAATGACTGGAAACCCTAAGTCTCTGTAAAGTTTCATTAAAATTAATAAATACATTTAAAAAAAAACAAACAACCAAAGCCAGCTGTGTAATAAACTGCTTCTGTGTTCTGGCTCCCTCGGCCCTGTGACCACCCAGCAGGGACATCCTTGGCTCCGTTTCCTCACCCCTTCTTCTGACTGGTGCCTGTCTCCGCTGGTGAGGGCACTTCTCACTCTGCCTTCTGGAACAGGAACCCCAGAGGCCAGGCCTTTCTGCAGGTTGACAGTGGGCGGGGCCTCACTGAAGCCTGGCCAATCAAACACTCATGCTTATTACTAGTAAGAAGTACAAGGTTCAGCTTTAGAGCTGAAAGTACAGAAAGCACAGGGTTTGTGGAAACTGCTACTTGTCCACTTTCTGAGCCCCAGTACAAGTCTAGTTGCCATTATAAACCCTCAATACAAGTCAAGATGCCATTATAAACCCTCTTACTATTTCTATCTTCATTTCCAGCCATAAACAAAGCGTGCTCGTCCACACAACTTTTACTAAGTACTCTTTACTGGAAAAAAGGAAAAGGACCTTTTGAGTTCAATCGGCGCTCCAGTGGTGGCACTGTGAGTGGGTTACAAAAAGAAAGGGCTGGATGAGGGGGACAAGGTTCCTGGTGGTGGCAGAGACGGCTCTCTGGACCAGGCCAGCATCTCTGAGTCACCCCAGCTTCCTGAGAAGAGATGACTGCTCCCCTAGCCTGCTCCTCCAGCCTCCCTCCATTCTGCAAGACCGCAAATCCCACTGTTGTTGTTGAGTATCATCGAGCAGGAACCGACCTGACCCATCAGTGGGTTTTCAGAGGCAGTTAATCACACAGGAAGAGACTGTCCATCCTTCTTCCACAGCGCAGCTCGTGGATTTGAACTGCATGCCTTTGGGATTGCAGTACTATTTCTTACCACTAGGTCACCAGTTGTTGTTATGTGCTGTCGAGCAGACTAGACACTTAGTGACCCTGTGTACAACAGCTCTGACCCCCGCTCTATCTTGAGCCAATTTATTTCACTGTCTCTAACACTCCGACCTCCATTACCCCGGTCACTGAAGTCAGTCCATCTCATGAATCCCAATAGTAGCTCCTGTTACTGTTGCTGATAACTATGAACGCCAATGACCAAGACAGAGGCCTATTGAGAGACAAAAACCACCTGCGGTTCTGCTCCAGGCAGCCAGCAAGGGAGGCAACACCCTCACTGTCCCAGGGAGAGAAACTGCCAGAAGGGAGCAGAACAAAGGCTTTAGATTTAGATCCAGCAGGAAGGATCTCTGATGGCACAGTGATTAAGCACTTAGCGTCTAAATGGGAAGTTGGCAGTTCGAATCCACTGGGGGAAGATGTGGCAGTCTGCTCATGTAAACATCACAGCCTTGGGAACGCCTCTGGGAATTCTACTCTGCCCTGTGGGGTTACAGGAAGTTGTACAGGCTTTGACAGCAATGGGCAGGCCTGACCAGAACCTGAGCAGAGAAAGAACATGTGATATTTTAAGTGGGGTCCCCAGCTCCAGGGAGCGAAGGCATAACAGAGAAAAGAACAGGGCCCCAACTCCCAACTCAACCAGCAGAAATTTACATTCTGATGTGGTCTAGGGCTTACCAAGGACGACAGGAAGGTTTCATTTATGATAGAATCATAACCTTTGGAGAAAAGTCGAGCAGTATCTAATAAAACTGGAGACTCTTTTGTTAGACACAACGATTTGGGTTTCTGAGTTTCTAGGTAAAAGCTCCGGGAGCAGGAGTTCTCGTCCCTTGGAGGGCTCGTGAAACACAGATCACTGAGCTCCACCCTCAACTTTCCAATTCACGAAATCTTCCGTCGTTGCTGTGTACTGTTGCTCTGCAATCAACTCATAGCTGATCCTCCAGTGGCTTTTCAGAGGCAGCAACTCAGACAGGTAGGAGTTGAAGGCCCACTTTTCTCCTGTGGAGCAGCCCGTGGATTTGAACTGTGTGCCTTTGGGCTGACAGCACCGCTCTTTAACCACTAACCCACCAGTTCTTAGCTAGGGCTTGAAAATTCGCATGTCTAGTAGGAGTAACCTATAGGAAGTCACACTGCAAATTCAAACATGCTGCTGCTCTGATGGTTCAAATCCACCAGATGCTCTGTGGGAGAAAGAGGGGCACACTTCTCTCATGTGATCCGCAGCCTCCAAACTCCAGCGGGAGGTTCAGCTATGAGTCAGTTCTGATTTGATGGCAGCGAAAGAACAGTAGTAAGTAGTAAATCTGTTGACATTACTGGTAGTTTTGGCCCAGGGTTCATACTTGGAAGACTTGGGGTTTAAAGAGACTTACACTAACACACGGACAGACGTGTACATACAAAGATATGTACTGCAGTATTATTTACCAATAAACACTTGCAAAAACGTAACCGTCATTTGAAAGGATAGATACACACATTATGGTTTAGTCATCCGCTGAAGTATTGTTGTTAGGTGCTGTTGGGT